TGTCTACACTTGTTTTTATTTGACCAAATGGTTACTTACGTACTTAATCTATGAGATCATATACACTTAAATTTCATTTTATAATCCACGTCAACGAATTTCAAATCATTTTGTGATCTCTACACAATTTCTTTTTCTACAACCTCTCAAGAACGGTATCATCATACTAGTCATTAGACCCACGGAGTATAGCCTAGAGTTTCTTTTTTGTAGACATTTGTGAACAGATTATATATATGTAGATTAGTGAAAGTTGCTATAAACTAATATATAGTTTAGACTAGAGTGTTTGACAAATTCTTCAAGTTTGTTTTAAGTTTTTTGAACTTGTGGAGCCTAAAACTAGTGGACTTAAAAGAGGAAGAAGTAATTAAATTTCTACATATATCCATTAAAATTGGAACGGTGACTTTATGCAATGATGTCACCTACAAACCAAAAATGTCCAAATTATCTTTAAAGAAAAAAATCTTGACGAAGAATACATGATTGACTTTATAGAGTAGTATTTAAAGGAACCCCAAAGAACATGAAATTATCTAACTTATGACTACAAATCAAATAGATTCAGAGACCAAGGTAACCTAAAACCACTTGAAACTAAAGATGGCTCAACGAAAGATGGCCCGTTTACCTCGGCTAGTTGAAAAGAACATGTCTATGTTTAAGGAAACATACGAGGGAACATCTTTGCACCTAGCCACACAACTAGGGGACGAGGTAGACGCAAAGAAGATAATCGAGCTCTTCCCTTCTCTAGTCAGTTCCACCAACTCGAAAGGTGACACTCCTCTTCATTTAGCTGCTATCTTGGGACACACAAACATCTTGATTTTGATGTTAGAGTCCACGAATCCGCTGCGAAACAAAAACCTATATGATTCAAAAGTTGAAGAAATGATGAATAAAGATGGCTTGACACCTTTGCATTGTGCGGCAGTGAAGGGTAAAATTGAAATCCTTGGGGAATTTCTCGATAAGGTTCATTCTTCTTTCGACTCGGTCACACTTGGAAAGAAGGAAACTGTCTTTCATTTAGCTGCGAGACACAAGAGGAAGGAAGCCTTCATTTTCATGGCAAAGAGTGCCGAGTTAGACCAGCTTCTCTACCAGTTCGATGCAGAGGGAAACACTGTGCTCCATGTTGCCGCCTACGTAGGCTCTGTTGCCGTAAGTTTTCTCGTTTATTCATTTTTTTTTGTTTTTTTCATCATTAGACCAAAACATGTACAGCATCCTCATTGTAGTATCTCAATGAGTTTCTC